GGGGGGGCAAGCAAGGGACTGTGGGTGGGGAGTGAGGGACACCGCAGGGCTGGGGGTTGGGAGTGGGGGGAAGGGGTGGGGAACACGGGACATGTACACAGATCTGGGTTCCCCCAGGTGCTCCCACCCTCTCCTGCCTGGTCAGGCCCCTCCCTGCCCCTGATTGGCTGCCCCACCCCAGGCAGGGCTTAAATACTTCAGACCAGGTTGGCCCCTCACCAGCACTCGGAGTCCTCAGGCTACAGCGATGAGACGTGTCCTGCTCCTCGGGGTCTCTTTGCTGCTCAGCCTGACGCTGGGTGAGTCCCGGGGGCTGGAGCCCAGACACCTGGGTTCTTTTGTGGGGGGAGCCTGGACTTGTGGGTTTTCTTGGGGCTCAGACAGCATTAGGTGAAGCAGATTTGGTTCAGCAATGAAACTTGGGGGAGGAGGGTGTCAGACACCTGAGTTCTTTATGGGGGAAGCCCGGGTGCACGGGTTCTCTTGGGGCTCCAGCACCATTAGGTGAAGCAGCTTTCTTTCAGCAATGAAGCTTGGGTCAGGGGTGTGCATGTATGTTGTTCATGGGTGTGTGTCTCAGATGCCTGGGTTGTGTGTGCGGGGGGAGGGAATGCTTGGGTCCCTACATGCCTGGCAGGGCCCTGATGCAGCCCTGAGGAATGCCTCTTGACCCCTTGAGTGGTTTCGTGCCCCTCCCACTCCACTTGAGCCCCAGAGCCAGGAATGTCTCACCTGGAGTGGGTCTGGGCACACTTTCTCCCTGGCACATTCCTGGGTGGGGAGTGGAACCCAGGCATCTGGGCTCCCAGCCTCCACTGCCCTCTTAGAGAACCCAGGCATCTGGACCCCAACCCCACTGGGACTGAAAGTCAACAGCATTCAGCCTTTCCCATATCCCTGCTTCAAACCATTGGGCAATGGAGAGGCCAGAACACCTGAGTCCTCTGGAAGAGGAACTGCAGGGTGGGTCCCAGCTCCACCCCAGCCTCAGCCGCAACTTCCCGCCAATGTGAGACTGAGTAACAGGGGAGGGGAGGGGAGCGGGTGGCTCACATGTCTTGGCCAGTGATGAAACAAGCCTCTGTGTCACCCAGATGTTAAGAAAGGGCAGTGAACCCAGGCATCTGGGCTCCACCCAGCCACCCAAAGCTTGCTCTAAGCAGTGGCCCACACTCCTCTCCCAAACTCCCTTCCTCAAAATGGGGGAGAACCCAGGCCAGCCCACCCTGCTCCTACCTGATTCCCTCCTAAAGGACCTAGGCGTCCAGGCTCCCAGCACCCCCCTGCTCCAACCCACAAGCCCTACTCTCTTCCCAGAGAACCCAGGTGTCTGGGCTGCGAGCCCCATCTCTGGGAGGGGTCGAACAGAATAGAGCAGGGTGGGGTTGGGAAAGGGAGGGATGGGACCAGCAGTAGCGGTGACAACACCTCAGTTTTCCATCTCCTCCCAGCTTCCTGAAAGGCTTATTTCCAATGGCTGGCCCTCGGGGGGCATCATGCTGGGCATAGTGAAGATAGGAGCTGGGACTGGCTCTAGCGGTTGCATTGGGCTGGGTGTAACAGGCGTAGGAGCTGTGGCTGGCTCTGGAGTGGGACCAGTGAGTAAGTTACCACACACAGCTGGCTCTGGGGTGGAGCTGGTTTTCAGCTCTGGGTGGTGACTAGCTCAGTAGTGGAGCGGCTGAGTCGATCTGACCATCCAAGATGCAGCTGGCTCTGGGATAGAGCCAGCTGCGGCATCCATGGATGAGATCCACATGGATCTTGGGTGCCAGATACCCCCAGGGATTCCCTGAGCTGGGTATCTGGTTTGAAAGGCCTTGGGAAGTAGCTGGGGTGGGCTGGGCAGTGGGGAGGGGTGGGCTGGGAAGGGAGGACTGGGAGGTGGGAAGGGGGAGGCTCAGAACAAATCCTCCCAGAGCTGGGCAGGGAACCCAGGCGTCCAGGCCCCCTGTTCTCAGCCCCTAACCCCCACTCCCTTCCCAAGGAACCCAGGTGTCCAGGCACCCTTTGACCTCTCCTCCACTTTTCTCCCCTCACAGCCCAGGGCCTGGTTTGCAATGTCTGCAAGTTCAAGGTGGGCTCCCTCTGCTTCCACCGCAAGGACCCATGCACGGTCATGGATGGGCAGTGTGAAGTCATCAAGGCCTACATTGGTGAGTTGGGGGGGCTAACTGCCCCACAGGGGGACAGGAAGGGAGCAGGACCCTGGGGTGGGGGCTCTGGGGCCCAGAAATGCCTCCTGCCCCCAGCCTTGAGGGGTAAGAGCCGGGGAACCAGGACTCCCAATATCTCAACAGCTTCTGGTAGCCACCAGGGGGTGGGGGGTGGCCTGGGGAGGGCTGTGGCTTGAGGGTGGGAGGAGCCTGAGGAAAAGGAGGATGGGGATTGAGGTTTGGGAGGATCCTGGGAGAGAGAGGAGAGGGGCATGAGGAGGGGCTTGAGGAGTGGGAGGAGTGCGGGGGTACAGGAGAGTAGGACCTGTGGAGGGACAGGTTGAAGGACAGGGAGGTGATGACTTGAGGGGTGGCGAGGAGCCTGGGAGAGGAGGGGCTAGAGGAGTGGGAGGGGTGCACTGAGGGGGTGTGGCTTCCAGAATAGGAGAGGCCTGGGAAAGGGGGGGTGGGGTCTGGGCAGGGGAGGGGTTTACAGTGTGGGAGGGACTCGGTGCAGCAGGGCTTCAGGAATGCAAGTGGCCTGAGGAGGGCAGCTCTGGGGGTGGGCTTAAGAAGGGCGTGGCTTGAGGAAAGGGTGGGGCGGAGCCCGCGTGTGTATCCCGGACACCTAGGATGTGTGTGTATGTGCATACCCGATGTGTATGTGTGTGTGTGTGAGACACCTCAAGTATGTGTGTGTTGGACACCTGGGGGGGGGTCAGACACCTGGGTTGTGTGTGTGTGCACGTGAGACCTCAGGGGTGGCTGTGTGTGTGTGTGTGTGTGTGTGTGTGTGCGCGCAGGGGTCCCAGGACTGGACAGGGCACAAGGTGGCTGCATCTTCCAAGGGTTGGGGCTGGGGCAGGGAGACAGGGGTGGGTTTTGGATGCCAGGGTTTTCTGGCAGACAGACGAGGGCTGGGGTGGGAGCAGGGCAGAAACCGAGGTGTCCAGGCAGGCCCTCACCTCTTCCCCCCCCCCCCCCCCCCCCCCCCCCCCGCCCCCCCCCCCCCCCCCCCCCAGAGAACGTAAAGCTCTTCTCCAAGTCCGGCTGCACCACGAATGAAAGCATGGCCCACTGCAACCGGACACAGCAGCACGACTCCATCTTCGATATCAACTACAACCGCACCTGCTGCCCCCACGACCTGTGCAATGGGGCCAGCCCCTCCTCCAGCACCCTACCCACCCGCCTCTTGCTGGCCGGCCTGGCCTCCACCCTCACCGCCACCCTGCTGCTCTAGGGGTCCCCTGGAGAGACCCCGGCATCTGGGTGCCCAGCCACACCACGTGCAGAACCCAGGTGTCCAGGCCTACCCCACTGCCAGGGAACCCAGGAGTCCGGGCTCCCAGCCCCCTGCTGATGAACCCAGGTGTCCAGGCTCCCAGCTACACCCCGTGGAGAACCCAGGAGTCCCGCGGTCCAGCCCCCACCACCACCCAGAGAACCCAGGAGTCCGGGGGCCTGACCGCAGTCACCTGCTGAGGAACCCAGGAGTCCGGGTGCTGGACCACACCCCCACCTGCTGGAGAACCCAGGAGTTTGGGCGCTCGGCCTCTGCCCACTTGCCAGAGAGCCCAGGAGTCCGTGTGGCAGGCCTCACCCCCATCAGCTGGAGAACCCAGGAGTCCAGGGGCCAGCCATGCCCATCCTCACCTCCCAGAGAGCCCAGGAGCCTGTGGTGGGTCTCAAGGGGTTAATAAAAGCCAGAGAAATCTTCCTGAAGTCTGGTGTGTGTGCTCTGGGCTTGGGGTGGGGATGGGCACATCAGAGCTGGTGTGGGGGTGGGCACAGATGCCTGGGTTCTCTGGGAGGGGGTTGGGGGCTGTGGGGTGGAAGCAGGAGGCCCTGGGAGCTTGGACACCTGGGTTTTAGCCCTGCTGTACCTGCCCCACCCCTTCAGTGCCCCAGGGAGTTGCAATGAAAGGTTGAGCCAATAGGGGGCAGTGCAGGCTCAAGGTCCAGCAGCAGACAGCTGCAGGCAGGGTGCTGCAGGCTGGGAGTGAGGGGCATCAGCTAGGCTGGAGGGGCAGGGGGTTGTGAGTTGGGAGTGAGGGGCACTGGCCAAAGTGGGGGGAGCAGGGACTCTGAGTCTGGAGTGAGGGGTACTGGCAGGGCTGGGGGGGGGTGGCAAATCAGGAGTAAATGGTACTGTCTGAACTGGGGAGGGCAGGGGGCTGTGGGTTGGGAGTGAGGGGCCCCATGTCTATAGGTGGGGGGCTGTGGGTTGACATGTGGGGGGACAGGCTCTTAGGTCCTCATAAATACAAAGTTTCCATTAATATCCCGGATGCCTGGGTTCTCTCCCCACTCCGGGGGGCCGATGAGGCAAGTAGAGGGGTTTTAGGAACTTGGATGCTTGGTTTCTTCCCTGGCTGTGGGAATGCAGGCAGGGCTGGTAAGTTAGAGCATAGCCTGGATTCCCGGATTCTTTCCCAGATCTGGGAGGGGACGTTGGCTATAACACAACCAGGGGCAACCCGCCAGGATACCTGGGGTCTCTGCCAGCCCTGGGCACGTGCTAGGCCGCGTGGTTCAGTATTTTCCATCTCTACTGATGACTCACTGTCGCCCTGAGGGAAGTCCCAGCCGCTCCTTTCCTTTCCCTTCCCCCACACTGGGAGCTTGTTCCCAGTCCAACCACCTCCCACCCCACTAAGAATCCCCTTTCTCCATCCTTCAGCTCCCCTGCAGTGTCTCTTGACTGGGCTCCAGCCTGTGCCACCCACTGGCTTGACCATTCCATTGAGTAGGGTTGGCCAGTGGGGACCTCTTGGTGCCCTCCAATGGCTGGTGGGAGAGCTGCAGTGCCCACCCACCTCCAACCCATTATCTAACTGGTGGATCTCCCACCTGCCTAGCTGCCACATCTTGGCCTGTCAATGGGGCTCTTGTTCCTTGGCTAGGATAGGCCAGGCCTGAAGCCTCCACCCTGCTAAGCCCTTCTTAAAACAACCTGCCCTCCCTGCCATGCCAGGCAGCTGTCAGGGCTCAAAAGGTAGTGCCCACATTGCCCTGGGGTGCTAGGTGGAGACAGTGACTCATTTCGTGCTCATCAGAGCCTCCGTAAGACCAACCATGTTGCCTTTCAGGGTCTGTGATGGAAAACACACGTAGAACCCAGCCTGTAGCCACCCAGGAGGGTCTTTGATGGAAGACATGCCTAGAACCTGGCCTGTGACCACCTAGGGTGGGGCCTGTGATGGACAATGCACCTAGGCCACAACACTGACCTACAGCCACCCAGATGTGTCTGTGATGGAGGACACACCTAGAAACCAGCCTGTTGCCACTTGGGGGGGGGTGATGAAAGACACACTAGAACCCCAGCCTACAGCTTCCCAGAGGGGCCTGTGATGGAAGACAAACCTAGAACCCTGACCTATACCCACCCGAGTGGGAGGGTGATCTGTGATGAAAAACACCTTGATCCCCAGCCTATGGACACCCAGGGGTATCTGTGATGGAAGATACACCTAGAACCCTGGCCTACCATTAACAAGAAGGGTCAGTGATGGAGGACGCACCTAAAACCCCAACCTATAGCTAACCAGAGGAGTCTGTGATGGAAAACATGCTTTGATCCCCAGCCAATGGCCACCCAGGGGCACCTGTGATGGAAGACACACCTAGAACCCCAGCCTATAACCACCTAGACCTGACACCACCATGCAGAAGTCTTCCATGCCAGGCCCTGAGAAAGCCCTCAGCGAGTCCATCCATCCACCCCCTCCCCTTCCATCATGGCACCAGGAGCCAAGGGGACAAATCTCTCAGCTACCTACAGCTCCCACCTCTAGGATATTTCCCCTGGTTGAGTTGGGCCTGTTCTGCACAGATGGTCCCGGGCTCTGGGGAAGTAATAGGTCTACCCCCACCATGTCCCATGGAACATCCTAGAAGTCAAAACCAAGGCAACTGGGTTGATGACATTGGTGGATCATCCAATGCCTTGGAAGTACCTCCATGCTCTCCCCCAAAACAGCCACTTCATCTTCATGGTGACATTCCCTTCACCTTCTCTGGCAGTTGCAAGGTCATGGAGGTCATTCATGGGTATCAGAGGGCCAGCTGGAAGATAAGGTCATGTGATATCTTCTCCACCAACCAGCACATGGGGAATTCTTGGCCACCCTAATGCTGCATTGCCCATGGACAAGCATGGGGAGGTTCCACCATGATGGCCCACAGATGCAGCTAAACTGAAGGACCGTGATGAGCCCAGACACCGGGTTCCGCTGGACAAGAGATGGGTCAGGAGTGAGGGGCACTGGGGGCAGCAGGTTGGGAGTGAGGGGTACCGGGTGGGCACCGGCAGGGCTAGGGCTCTTCTTCCCTGGCACCAAGGCTGTGATGAAGGTGGGAGAGAACCCAGGTGTCCGAGCTCACAGCCCTCCCACGCCCGCCCCCCCCCCGCCACCCCCCCTGTAACCCAAAATTCCCCGGAGCCCTGAACACGTAGGAGCTCAGATGTGAGCTATAATTAACAGAAGGTTGGTCTGATGATAACAATAATGAGGAATGATAATTACAGGCTGGGACTTGTCCAGTTGACGGGTGAAGAACTGACAGCCTGTCACCGGCAAGGCTGGGCTGGGGGGTGGGCAGGATCTGTGGGTTGGGAGTGAGGGGCACCATCAGGGATTGCAGGGTCCAGGGGCTGCAGGCTGGGAGCGAGGGGCACCGGCAGGACTGGGGTGGGGGGAACTTGGGCTCTGCCCTGTCCCCACCCCCGACCGGGGCCTTGGGGCATGGCTGGAACACCCAATCCCTCACCTCACCTGTCCCAGTCTTCCTGTCTCCACCTGCCATGGGCTATAAAGGTCCTGGAGGCTTCTGGACCTGCCCCAGCATTGCCATGAAGGTCTCAGCCCTGCTCCTGTTTCTGGGATGTCTGTGCCACCCAGGTAAGAGATCACGCCCCGCCCCCCCCTCCCCACCCCTGCCTTACCGTTGCTCCTCACTCCTAACCTGCAGCTCCCCTGACCCCCCAACTCAGCTGATGCCCCTCACTCCCAACCCACAGCCCCCTGAGCCCTGGATGCCCCCATGATCACTAGCTCTGCTGGTTTGAGTAGGGTTGGTCTGGGAGCCCACACACCTGGGTTCTCTCCATGCCCTGGGAGAGGAGGGGGGACTTTTGTATCAGTGCAGGGGGGGCTGGGAGCCCAGACCCCTGGGTTCCAAAGAACAAGGCAACTCATAGTATGCTCCAGCCCATAGAGGAGCCGCTCCCCGCCCCCTGCCCCCAGCCTGATCTGATGTTCCTGCCCCATGTGGATTAGCTGTTCCCCATCCAGCCCTGCGGTGCCTCAGGCCCCCTATGAGCCCTGGAGCTGAACTGAAACCGGGAAAACTCATAACATCTCCCTCTGGTAGGGCTGAGAACTGCAGCTTGGGATTGAGAGGCACCAGTAAAGCTGGGGGAGCAGGGGGCTATGGGTCTGGAGTGAGGGGCACCAACAGGGCTGGTGGGGCAGGGGGCTGCAGGTCAGGAATGGGGGGCACTGGTAGGGGGGGCAGGAGGCTGTGGGGTGGGAGTAAGGAGCACTAGTAGAGTGGGGGATCAGGGGGCTCAGGTCAGGAGTGAGGGGCACTGGCAAGGCTGGGGGAGCAGGGGGCTATGGTTTGGGAGCGAGGGGCACCAGCAGGGCTTTGTGGGGGAGGGGGCTGTAGGCAAGAGTGAGGGGCATCAGCAGTGCCAGAGTGGGCAGGGGGCTGCAGGTCAGGAGTAAAGGGCACCAACAATGATGTGGGCTGGGGGTTGGGAGTGCGGGGCACCATTTCCGGACCTGGAGCTGCTGTGGCTTTAACCATGACCCCCCTGGGAGGTCATAAGTCATTCCCATGAACCTCAGGGTCTGGGTATATGAGTTATGTATGGTGGCCACGGTCACATCCAGCCATTTTGACCTCCCCTCCTAGTGAGACACAAGACCCCTATAGAGTTTGGTCAATAGGGTCATGCCTTGGCCCCAAAACACAAGACAAGACCCCCAGACCCTGCTTCATCCCTCTCAGGACCTCTCCCCCAGTCCTTAAAGCCCAAAGACCCACTGAGTTGGGTTGGGTTGAGTTGTGTTCAGTGCCTTCCACTTGACTTTCCATCCACCCCCATCAGAAAAGATCACAGGTGCATCATCTTCTAACCAACTCTTGAAGGTCAGACCAGGATGTCTCCACCCAGACCAGGAGATTGGATCCCTGAGAGCCAGGTGGGCCAATCACTGCTTGCATGGACAGAGGAGAGACCTCCACAGAAGGAAGGCATCATGGTTTAGCCATACAGTCACTGAGATGATGGGAACGGGATGTCCTTCATAGTTTCACAGTTGGTTGAGTCAGAAGGGACCTTGACAGATCACCAAGTCCGACCCCCTGCCGTGGCAGGAAAGAGCGCTGGGTTCAAACGACCCCAGCAAGATGTTCATCCAGCCTCCTCTTGAAGACCCCCAGGGTAGGAGCCAGCACCACTTCCCTTGGAAGTGGGTTCCAGATCCTAGCCGCCCTGACAGTGAAGTAGCGCCTCCTGATGTCTAGTCTGAATCTACCCTCTGCCAGCTTGTGACCAGTATTTCTAGTCACTCCTGGTAGTGCTCGGGGGAACAGGGACTCCCCCAATGCCTGCTAGTCCCCTCTGACTAGTTTGTAAACGGCCACTAGATCCCCGCTCAGCCTTCTCTTGTGAAGGCTGAACAGGTTCAGGTCCCGTAGCCTCTCATTGTAGGGCCTGCCCTGCTGTCCCCTGATCATGCAGGTGGCCCTCCTCTGAACACTCTCAATGCTGTCCACATCCCTCCTGAAGTGCAGCGCCCAGGACTGGACGCAGTACGCCAACTGGGGCCTGACCAGTGTCGCATAGACGGGAAGGATCACCTCCTTGGACCTGTTTGAGATGCATCTATAGATGCATGACAAGGTACGGTTTGCCTTCCTGACTGCGTTCCCACACTGCCGGCCCATGTTCATTTTGGCATCAATAATGACCTAAAAGATCCTTTTCTGGCTCTGCACTGACGAGAAGGGAGTTCCCCAGCCTGTAGGTCTGCTGCTGGTTCTTCCCCACGAGGTGCAATACCTTGCACTTGTCAGTGTTGAAACCCATCCTGTTCTCATCTGCCCCCCCCTGTAACCTCTCTAGGTCCAATTGCAGCCTATTCCTCCCTTCTAGTATGCCCACATCCCCCCACATCTTAGTGTCATCAGCAAATTTGAACAGGGTGCTTTTTACCCCCTCGTCAAAGTCACGAATGAAGATGTTGAACAGTGCGAGCCCGAGGACCGAGCCCTGGGGGACCCCACTGCCTACATCCCTCCAGGTCGAAAATGGTGGTCTCTTCTCCTTGGGATGTCCAAGCTGGGAAAGGTCCATCAGGTCGTGTTCACTAGACCCTTTGCTTCTGTTGGTCAACATTGACCTGAACTGGTCGTCTGGCCTCTCTTCTTCTGTGGTCACTACAGATTTCCTCCAGGCTCCCCTGACTAGCATGGTCTTTTTGATCTCACTCCTTTTGATGGTTAGATTTGGGAAGGAACTTGGGTTATTAACAGGTATTGCCAGCTAACGAGGTCTCATAGCATGTCCACATGATGAGCTATAATCTTGTTTTTCAAACTTTGCTTTAAATTGTTATTTTCTGCTAGCAAAGGCTTGGAATGCGGCCACATAGTTGTGTATTTCCTTGTCCTTCAATTGTCTTTCAGTTGGCCTTATAAATTGGCACTTTCCACTTAGGAGGTCTCATACTACTTATTTCCTCCCTTTCAACTATGCAACTTTAATTGTTATTTAAAGCTAAGGATGTTTTATAATATGGCCACATGATTGGTTATTTCTTGCGTTTCTGCAATCCTTATTAATTGAATGGGTATTTCTTTTGTCTTTCAATAGTTCTTATTAATTGCCATCAGCTAACGATGTCTTGAAATATGTCCATATGATGATTAGCTTTTTATCTAGTCTTTCAATATTTTTTATTAGTTAATGTGTCCAGCTAGCCATATGATTCAGTATTTCTTTTCTTTCTCAGTATTCCTTATTAATTAACAATGACCAGCTAACAAGATCTTCTAACAAATCCAGACAACTAGATCTTGATTTTATCTTTCAGCATTCCTGATTAATTAACAGCTAAGCTAAGGATGTCTTGTAATGTGGCCTTATGATTAGCTCATTTAGTTGTTCAATATTCTGTATTAGTGTGTCCAGCTAGCGATGTCTGGCTTTCAGTATTCTTTAGATTAACGTTCCCAGCTAACCATGTTTCAAACACATCCATAGGATTAGCTGTTTCCTTTGCCCTTTCATCCTCCTTGTTTTCTTTTTTCTCCTATCCTAAGAGGCAGTTTGAGGAATGTTCCTCCCCTCTTCCCCCCCCCCCCCCCCCCCCCCCCACCTTTTTTGTTTTTCCACTGACTAAACAGAAGAAGGGCTGGGTGGAGGCTTGATTTCTGGCCTCCTTTGGCAAAACGAGTCTCAGTTTTTCCAGCCAAACAAGAAAAACAAGGATTTGTGAGTATGATATAACCCAAATTATTTGTTTTTTTCCATTCCATTGGCAATGTTTCTCTTCTTTTCCAGAGGCTGTAGAAGTCTACCATATTTCCCAGCCTACCATATGCACCCCTTTGTGTGCCCCTGCCCCCCCAGAAAAAATGGGGGGATGTGTTTTTAAGTGGGAAAGCTCCACTATAGCAGGGAAAGTTTCGATTCAGACCAAACCAACATCACTGCTTGTTAGACTCCACCTGCTAATCTACAGCTGCTAATGAGACTTTCTCCTTTTATAAAAAGCTGGATGTTCCACTAAGTAAGCTAACCTCTCTTTGGGAATTTGTGCCATTTATTGGCTACTCCTAGTCTCTCTCTTCCTATTTCACAACCTGTTTTTAGCTCATTCCAAAACCGCAGAATCCAGTCTCCCGCAGCAGCTAGGGTTGCAGCTTTTGGCTGAGCTGCTAATATGTCAGCCATGCAAATGGTTCGAACAGGCTGAGTGCATGAGCTGGAGATTTACACTGCTGTATGGAACTATACATTTATTTCTTTTTCCTTCATTGTATCTTCCCCAGAATAATATGTAGGTCTTAGATGAGGGTGTCTGGTATACAAGACATGGTATTCTTTTTCTTCATCCCCAAAACAAAAGTGTGGGTCTTATTTGAGGACATACGATATGTGAGAATGTACAGTAATATAGGATAACCCCCCCCCCCCCCCCGACTCCCGGGGCGGGGAGAGACTCAGCCAAGCTTCCAGTTGCAAGGTGTGCTCAGGTGGAAAAAGAAAGGATTAAATGAAATACCATAATTAACCACGTACCACACAGCAATTGTTTTTCTTATTCCAAAATTAGTAATTAAAAATGGGTCTGATTCTAACTATCTTGGTTAAAAGGGGGGGGAACTCCTGTCATCTTCAAATTACCTTCCCCAGGGTGTCTTTTTATGGGTGCACAATACACAGATAAATATGGTATTATTAGAAAAAAGCCCAATGAAGGGCTTTTTCCGGCTGTTGTCGGGGCCCAGTGGCAAATTCATGCTCATATACGAGAAATATAAGGGCTCTGATTGGTTCAAGTGTGCAAAGGATATTTCTGGGCAATTCTTCATTGAAAAAGGGTTTTTTTTTGTCTTTGATTCAACCATAGGAAGAAATTCCCCAGGGAGGGACTCTTTGTTGGTGGAATCCATGTGTTTTCTGGGGCAAAAAAATAGGGGTGGATAGGAAATTTCTGCCTGGATTTAATTGGAGATTCGTGGATTAAGATGTTGGAGAGATTGGAAAGATGTGCAGCCCCCACACCCGGTCCTGCCGGTGCCACTCACTCCTAACCCACAGCCCCTTGACCCCACCCAGCCCTGCCAGTGCCCCCCATTCCAACCCACAGCACCTGCCCCGAGCCCTGCTGGTGCTCCTCACTCCCAACCTGCAACCCCTGCCCACCCCAGCCCTGCTGATGCCCCTCACTCCTGACCCGCAGCCCCCTGCCCCCATTCGTTGACCCCATATCTCTCTCCAGGGGAATCCCAAAATCACCGGCTGAGGTGCTACGAATGCGGGTTTGAGAAGCTGTGTGATGTCAAGGTGGTGACGTGCAAAGAGGGAGACAAGTGCGCCATCTGGAAAGGACTGGCAGGTATGGGCACCCGGTGCGCCCCACTCCCGGCCTGCA